CATACTATATTATATTATTCTCTACCATACTATATTATATTATACTCTATCATACTATATTATATTATTCTCTACCATACTATATTATATTATACTCTACCATACTATATTATATTATTCTCTACCATACTATATTATATTATTCTCTACCATACTATATTATATTTTATTGTAGAATAAATTATCTTGAGCTTGCATATAAAGCCTACGTCTTTGATTTTATGAATTCCGTATCTTAGTTAATTTGCTTTTTAATAAATTTTTGCGGACGAAGTATTAGATGGATATTTTTTATGACCAGTCTCATCAATTCATTGAAAAGCCACATTTAAATCATATTGACTGGCTAATTTTATTTGTTTGGTTTTCGAATTGATACTAATGTTTAATACTAATTTTCCTAGTCTCTAATGGTTAGAAATGTCTCATTATCTTGGTAGGTATCTAGAAAATCCCTATCTTTTGATTCTCCAATTTCCCAGCAACACATAGAATTCTGCGCCTTCGTTCTCCCTGAAATGTGATATTCGTTCAGGATTTATGATAACCTAAGCAACTAATTTATCTGCGTGCTACTCACTTTTGATTCCAATACATTCCTCGTAAAAACCGACCATGCACCGTGAAAGTCTTTTATAGCCAAACTAAGTCACAGTTTCTCCTGCAACTGCTCATGAGAATTGATGCCGTGCAGGTCTTTTAATAAACATATCAAGTCGCGATTTTTCTTGCTAATGATAGTAACAACTGATAAAATTACAATTTTTTCTCGCTAATCCTCATAATAATCAATATCTTACAGGTCTGCTGCTGTTAGCGCACAACCACCAGGCCGCCCACCTGCTGCAGCGCGCGCTGGACTTCTTTGGTCTCATTTGTTATTATTATTTTCTATCAGCACCATGCAGAAAGTATTGACTGTCATTTCTGCGATAAATTAGGACCAGCTTGCGAGAATTTAAGTCGAACATCTAACGATGATGTGAAGACTTTTGCGGTTTTTAATCACCAATGACGATCCCCCAAGTGGTTGATGATCAAAACTACAATTTTCGATGTTATTTTCATGTGGGTGACCTGAGAACGTCATTCCTTACAGCGGCAGTCTTGCTAAATTTATAGCTTCATTCTAGAGTTTGAATGCAACTCAAAACGAGTGACAGTCCATGTAAAATTCATGATAGTTTTAAGTTGATCGATTTTTGTATTAGTGTCCATTTTATGATTTTGATTGCAAGAGATACGTGGAAGATAGTTTTTGACTAATCTAAACAAAGGTTTAATCATCACTTCTTTTTTAATGAATCGAGAGTTGAGTGCTTCACGGAGATGGGAAGTTGTATGTACTGCTCCCAGAAATGCCCTTACTTTCGCTCTTGCTATTTATATCAAATTAACTGACGTAGCTTTGAAAATTGGATAAATTTATCATGCTTTTATTACTGAACAATGTGAGTTTGTATGATCGCTACAGTTATTCTTTGGCCAAAATGGCCATCGTTTTGGATATATCGAACACCCCGCATCCCTCCATACATAATATCGTATCGTCGAGCTTAATTTGTACTCTCCAGCCTCAGGTTACTGTTCTTTTTGTACATTGTCGGAAAGATTGTAAAGTTTGTTCAATACCTCAAAACTGGCAATTTAGGTAAGTTTCCTCTCTAGTGTTGAACTTCCACGCTTCTCATTGAATTGAACATGCCCTCTAATCCATAAACCTTATTTATATTTAATATCAAGAGCAACAAAGTAGTATTTTGCCCATTTGTACAAGATGTAGATTGAAATACTTGAAGAGTTTTTTTATAAAATTCGCAATACTACTCCTTATACACAGAATAGATTCTGAAGCAATTTAATTTAAAAATATTATTACCTCTAAAGAAGCGTTGAATTGTATTTATGCTCACAGCCTAGAATCTAAATGAAGCATTTTTATTTGAGCTGAATTGTAGCATGATTTTGACTTGCATCTAATTAATACGTTTCACCCTCCACGTTCTGTTTAATTTTTCCTAATTGTCTTACTTTTTATACATGCAATTTAAAAAATGCCGAATAGGGTAAAAACTCCAAATTATGATCGGCTCTTTCTCGCGGGGCTCTAGTTTCTCATTATTTCTACCGGTTAAAGAAATCCTGGTAGATGACGATACCAGCCTATAATTTAAATTTTAAATTTGGTATTAAGTTACTGAAATGCAATATTGACGCACGCTGAAAAGTTTTGATGAAATAATTGCCCTTTCAAGATGCAGAATGAGCATTTTCGTGGGAATCAGTCGTATCAAGAATAGTAAAATTTTTGAGCTTTCTAATTCTGCGTGAAAATGTTTTCCTTAGCCGCGAACATTAGTCCCTGACAGATTCTTTTTTAGCTTTAGCGGGACATGACTAATATCAAACAATTTTTTTTGCGGTAAGTGGGTGAGATTCTGTTGAGAATTGAAAGTTTTTATTGACCTACGATTGCTGATTATTTTCATTTGGATATTGGAAAATGTGTAAAGTTAAGTCTTTTAACAATCACTCGCGGAAATCGAAGGAATAAAGCGGTTCAAGAAAACTAATGTTGCTTGCCGACACTTTCTTTAATTATAAGGCTTTGGGCGAAGGTACCGACTGGATTCTTCAAAAACGTATACTTTTTATATTTCTATATCAGTACAAACTAGATAAATGTTCTCTAAAGCTAAATATATACATGTTCTTCGGTCATTTTACCTTAAAGAAACGTTAGGATCAATGATCAACTTGATCGGGATTCGGGTTTTTTGAAACCACGCATCCCAAATGCACATGGTTGAATTAATTAATTCAACCATGCCAAATGCACATGGAAATTGCGGACGAAAACGTTTGCATGCGGCGGATATTTTCTGCCGTCTATGACACACTAGTCACCATTCAGTAAAATCTGCACATACCTCACCGCTCATTACTATGAATCATATAATGCTGATCAGAACTACGATTTTATAGGTTTAAATAACCTCTTGATGATTTGAAAGAAATTTTGATCGCTTTAGAAAGATGTGGTACATTTTTATTTGTAAAATAGTTCGTTAATATTGAAGACCTGCGACTTAACTCAAGTGCTGTGGCGACGTTGTCTGAATTGACGGTAGCAAATTCAAATTAATCTTCATGTGCTCTATATGAGTTTTGCAGAAATTGTACTGGTTTTAAAAGCATATTTCGTTCTTATTTCAGTATGCTTATCGTTACTAATTATGTTTATTCGACCAAACTGGGAAAGCACTTTGGTCAACAAACTATTATTAAATCAATACAGCAGTACAAACTTGAAACTATTAAAATTTTCCCGTCTGCTGTCTTAAATGAACAATGGTAAGATTGTGTTTATCCATATTTGAAGATAGCTAGGTAACCAAGTTTTCCACGCATCTTAGTTTCGCTATTTAGTACAGGTTTCAAAATATGGTTATGGAAAAGATTAACTCTAACACTGAAAAGTCAGAAGTAATACACACGTATACATAAGTAAAATTGTTTATGATATTGGTCAATAGTGGGACTAGTGATGTACGCTTAGTCTAGAAGAATTCTTGAAAGCATTAAGGTTCGGGCACTTGAAACGTGTAATTCGAACATTCAATAATGTAAAGTCCGAGATTTTATGTTTAAGGGTTGACTGTCACGCTTCTTGATAATAATTGATCTGCAATTTATTTATTGTGATTTTATCTATTTGAAAGTAAAAGGATTATAATGTGAGCGTAAAGTCGCTGATGCGAGTCATTCTTCGTGTCTCTACGATACATTGCTCCTGCGATTTTTTTTTTTCAGGCACACTTTAAGTAAATAATATGTACTGATAAAAAGCTTTTAAGAAATCCATATTCTTAAAAGCTGTATGAAAAAATAGACCTGAAAATTTCAGTCAAATTTTAACGCACAAAACTAAAAGATCTTTGTTATATCTATTAGAATTAATCATATTAATATAACCATATCACAGCTGGAAGCAGAATCTAAACGCGAATATTTCACTTGAAAATATCAATGGGGAGCTACGCCGTTTTGATTTCATTCTGTTGGAAATGAGCAATTTCAAGATATGAAATAGCATTCAATGGGTCAATGTCTTAAACTTAGAAATTATATTCCTTGCCAATAAATATATACTTAATGCACTAAAAATTTAAACTTACAAAACTAAATTAAAATGACTTTAGCCATTTTTCAACCAAACTAAGAAAATAGTATTGGCAAATTAATTATAAACTTTGTTAATCATGTATTAAAGAGTTTCCGTTTAAATATAAAATTTTTAACATTTAGATAAGTTACACATGCAAAGAAAACTTTATTTTCATCACGTGGACTTCTTTATTAAGAAACGCTAACAACAGAGGCTGAGGCTTTCACAGACACATACGAGCGTATTACATGTCAACGTCTGAATAAGTTCTGGAGAAAAAGTCAGTAATGATATCGTAGATGATCAATGATTATTTAGTAATTAATCACTAATTGTTTCCTTGCTAATTAGAAATTATCTCGTAACGCTGTAATAAAGTGGCTTTGTTACTTACTAATAGGGAAGAAGCTTAATAGTTAACTATTTCTTCCAGCCGATCGAATTTAAACGTATCTTTCAACCATTACTCAACTATCATGAGTTTCGTGAATTTATTCACAGATAAAATTGTAGAGCAAGAGTTATTCCGCTTAACTGTACATGCCGTTTCGATCTGTGTCAGTAAATACGAGGCAACAAGCACTTCATTGAGATCTCTAGAAGCTCCCTTTGCCTAAAATGAAACAAAAAATTTTACGTCATAAAAATAAGCATATTATAAAAATTAGTCTCATATTTTGGGTTTTACTCGCTGCTTGGAAATGTCAAACTTGCTTGAATGCACGACATTTTTCTACTAATTTATTTCATTGTGAATTTTGCTCTCGTAATTCTCAAGATATGCTTTTTTCAACAAAATTTCATCATATCTTCAATTTATAAGATCTTTATTGTAGTTTTCACGCAAACTCTTGTATTAAAACCTTTTGATTTCTACGAGCTCTATCTTATGTCAATAACAAGATTTATTGGGGAAACACAATTAGAGTGTTAGATCAACACAGTTAAAATATTACTGTCGTCTGTTTCAAGTCTTCATACTTGCCGTGAGAATAATTTCATAGTTTAAAGGTTAATAAGCTATAGCTTAACATGCATCATAGGATAAATATGTTTCGCCCACCCTATATCATAGCACCCTGCATATTAGAAATATATTTCGTCAGTGCTACAGCTTTACGTCCTTAATACGATAAGTATGTTAAATCATATTTTTTCGTTATACTGTAAATAGTATATAACCTTCATTATTTCATATTTTTTGTCAGTTATGTAGCATGTCACCTTCGTCACATAACATGTTTCGTCACCTCTCTCTCATAACACCTTGACTCCTCTCCTCACTCGCTCAGTCCGCGTCTTTCACTCAGGCGTATAAAGAAGTTTGCTGGCCTGCTTACGTCAAAGTAAGCAGTCCAAAGTAAAAATCCCCAAGCGTTGTCTAAGAGTTCGCTGTTCCTGTAGATTCAGAAGCAAGACACCGCGTTAAAGTAGCAGCGCCAGTACAGTCGATTGTCTGTGGGTTGCCCTCGTCTGTCAACCTGGAACAACACGAAGCCTTCAATGAAAGCATTCCACAAATTATGTTAATTACAGCACAGTATAATTGTTATGCCATGATGGCTTACGATATTTTATAACAATATTTAAATAATAGGAAATAAGTACTTCTGTATTTTCTTATTTTTCCACATGTAGGATTTGAAAGTAATAGCATAATGTATTCGAATAATAAAGCCGAACTTTGTAATTGCTTGGAAATGTCAAACTTGCTTGAATGCACGACTCTTCTCTACTAATTTATTTCATTGTGAATTTTGCTCTCGTAATTCTCAAGATATGCTTTTTTCAACAAAATTTCATCATATCTTCAATTTATAAGATCTTTATTGTAGTTTTCACGTAAACTCTTGTATTAAAACCTTTTGATTTCTACGAGCTCTATCTTATGTCAATAACAAGATTTATTGGGGAAACACAATTAGAGTGTTAGATCAAAACAGTTAAAATATTACTGCCGTCTGTTTCAAGTCTTCATACTTGCCGTGAGAATAATTTCATAGTTTAAAGGTTAATAAGCTATAGCTTAACATGCATCATAGGATAAATATGTTTCGCCCACCCTATATCATAGCACCCTGCATATTAGAAATATATTTCGTCAGTGCTACAGCTTTACGTCCTTAATACGATAAGTATGTTAAATCATATTTTTTCGTTATACTGTAAATAGTATATAACCTTCATTATTTCATATTTTTTGTCAGTTATGTAGCATGTCACCTTCGTCACATAACATGTTTCGTCACCTCTCTCTCATAACACCTTGACTCCTCTCCTCACTCGCTCAGTCCGCGTCTTTCACTCAGGCGTATAAAGAAGTTTGCTGGCCTGCTTACGTCAAAGTAAGCAGTCCAAAGTAAAAATCCCCAAGCGTTGTCTAAGAGTTCGCTGTTCCTTTAGATTCAGAAGCAAGACACCGCGTTAAAGTAGCAGCGCCAGTACAGTCGATTGTCTGTGGGTTGCCCTCGTCTGTCAACCTGGAACAACACGAAGCCTTCAATGAAAGCATTCCACAAATTATGTTAATTACAGCACAGTATAATTGTTATGCCATGATGGCTTACGATATTTTATAACAATATTTAAATAATAGGAAATAAGTACTTCTGTATATGCTTATTTTTTCCGCACGTAGGATTTGAAAGTAATAGCATAATGTATTCGAATAATAAAGCCGAACTTTGTAATCGTCTGCATTGAAATGCAGCTGTACATAGTATTAACGCTACCAAAGTACTAATGCTGTTGAGATGCAGCTTTACTGTATAATGCTATTAAGATAAAGCTCTTCTTAACTGTACATAGCACTAATTCTATTGAGATGCAGCTTTACTAATTTGTACATAATATAAATGCTATTGAGATGCAGCTGTACTTATTTGTACATAGTATAAATGCTACCCTACATTCTGAGGACTAAGACAAGTAGCAAAGTAAGCAAATTATTCCTAACAGGTGGAGCTATGGTGACGCAGCGCCGTGAGCGACAAACGACGGCGTGTGACCGTATATAATTACAGAAGTTGCAGCGCAACATTTGCTGCCATGTTTGTTTGAGAAACGAAAATAGAGATCGGCTAAAAATATTCCACTACTAGTGGGTGCTATTGCGTCAAAGACGAATTTCTAGACTCGGCTCTGCATTTATAGCAACCACTCTTTAAAATAAATTATGGGTGCAAGGAAAGAATAATCGGTAGAAATAACAGGGTTTGTCTGTTTTTCTATTTTCATTCATTATATAAATTAAAATATGACTTCCATGAAACAATTTCTAATATTTTTACTTAATTGTTCTCTGTTATGCATATTTGTGATCCAACTCTGATTAGTGACGTTACAACCTGAAAAATATGTTATGTCGTGTTGCCAGTGTGAATAAGTTAAGTTTTTACAATTTTTAATTTTTCTGCGGAAATCCTTACTTTTAATTTTATTTAATTATAAGCAATATCCCTCACCCCAGTACTGAGAAAGTTTCTGTTCCCTGGTGGGCCGCGTAGCGCCATCGGCCGGTCCTGGCCCGGCGAGTCGAGTGCTTTCTTCAGCGCGTACATGAGCTTGTCGAATGCTATGGCCGCCCTCTTGCGCGGAACGTCGTACTGTGGGGAAATAAATAGTGTAGTGATAAACAGTGCAAGATCCATGACCGTCTGACAATTATCCATATTTACTCGTCAAAGTGAGTTTAGTGTTTAGTGATAAACTGTGCAAGATCCATGACCGTCGGATAATTATCCATATTTACTCGTCAAAGTGAGTGAAGAACGATTCGTATTGAAAAATCTAACAGCTAATATTTTTTGTAAGCTCCAAATTTCACCAGAAAGTTTTGCTTATCCTCAAGTTTTGTTCCAGTCTAATTGTTCTTATATGCTGGAAAAGCCTGCTACTACATAGTTGTGTAAAAAGCTTTCAAGAGAAACTTGAACATGCGTAATAAAAACCGTAGAGTTACAAGCCATTTTGATAATAAAGATGGATGTCTAAAATGAAGTGCCCCAATAAATTTATTTTGCATTGAAAAGGTTAAACGAAAATTATGGATTATATATGAAACGAACGTTCATGACCAGCTGAGTACCACTTTTGGTGAGTCCTGAGTAAAACTTTTATGGAAGTTTCAGTTATAATTAGGCACATCGTTGCTACCAGCTAATCAGATGCACTACATAATTTTTTCGGGCACTCTTTACCTCTTTAAAGTTAGCAAATTGATTAATTTCTTAAAATTTATTAGCTTCTCATCTGATGCATTACATTCGCCCGGATACATTTTAGCGAAACGTGGCATTCATCATGAGTTATTAACTGTATACATTGTTGACATGAATAACACTGTTGATCATTGTGTAAATTGAATTCATCTCCAATACTCATAAATACGAATATATTAGAAACTATCACCAAAAAATTTTCAGAATTTCATTTAAATAAATTATTCACTATACAAACGACTTTTCACAGCATCAAAGTTTTCTAAAATGGACTCAATAGTCAATAAACGTTTGGCGTGACGAGCCGTATTCCACGCGAAGTGCAAAGAGTATGTGGCCCAAAGACAAAAAATATAATTCGCATATCACTACGTTGAAAGAAAAATAGATGAGTTTTCGCGTGCGCATCGGAAAATAAGCGCAGGTTACATGGACAAATTTTATGTGTGTCTTTTAGCCAATTTGAAATTATTAGTGGTTGTATAAGCTCAGTCAAGAATCTATTAATTAATCAACCACCGACAACATAATATTTCAAATACAGCTCATTTTCATCGAATAGCATCTCTCGATACAAAAAACTATTACATTACAAAGGACAATCAGAAAAAGTATCAGGACGGCAAGATGCCCTGGCAATCTACGAGACCATTACACGTAGGAGACAACATCAGCGGCGCGCGCGTGAGGTTGCCTGCAGTAAACAACCAACGCTACGTCGTCTCTCAGAGAACTAATTACCTACCTGCTCGATCCACCTTCATTACCTCTTAGCATTACCTTCTAATTCTCTTGCGTTCATTTATTTCTATTGTCGGAGCTGTAATTATCTCTTCTATGTGGTGTTTTTAAGTGAATGAGTTATTGTTTGGTAAGGTAAAGGGATTTTCGACTGGGTCGTTGAGACCTATATGACCTAAAATGTTTTAGGATTTGATCGCGCTAGTCATGTTCGACTTTTATTTTTGAGTAAATATTTCTTCAGTGCACCATAATTCTCGCAAACATGAAAATCTGGATTGAATAATGTTCAATAAAAGTACGGAATTATCGAAGTAAATAATGTAATGCGCGAATCGCTACTGTCAAACACAGTTTATATTCGTTCTTTCTACTGAAAACTTCACATGACCGCATAAATTATGGAACATAAATCTTACTTCAAATTATTCAAAGAGCATAACAAGCATAACTAGAGTCCACGTGTTTTGCGTCGAGATGACGTCCGTTAAATTCTAGCAAAATTAAATCAGTTTCCTCGAGAACGCAGCGCTTTCCTTAGAAGACTCAGACGCCACATGTGCTCGTTAGTGTTCGAAAACGCTAGCCTAATAATGTCATCTTATTTGAGCATCCAATTAAAAAAACATATTTCAAACTTCGGTTGCTTTAATGAGTTGACTAAAGCCTAGTGATGATCTCTAGACCATAAGTTTGCTTTCATGTTTGCATGACTGTATGTGTGTTGTGTTGGTTATTGATAATTAAATGCTTTAACATGTCTCTATTAGCCTGGTTGGTACTTCATTGTTGAATATTTAAAGGAAAAAGCGAAATAACAGGTAAATATGAAAAAAATTAAATTATTTGCATACAAACGTTTTACTACGGTGAAGTTTCACTCCGGTAATCAAACGTAGACATGGTGGCAAAAACAGACTCTCACTCAATTCAACTCTTGCTTTTACTTTCCTCAAGCTCTATAAAACAAATATGGCAGATTGCAGACCCAGCGATATCAATCATCGCTCCTCGGCAACGGTTCACTTAGCGTGAATTATGGCGACGCAACTTGAACCTGCAGCTTCCGAAATACTCAGCAAAACTAAAGAGTTAAATTTCCCAAATAGTGACACTGTTTTAATCACAGAACGCATACAGTGCGTGTACGAATAGCATAGCTGATACGGTTTTTGCCTGACCAAAATGGGTGTGATGACCCACTTCAGGAAAAAAATCTTCGCTATTTGGAGAACGTCAGGCACAAATATCTCTCTCAGGATGAGCTTCTTCAGCAACGGAACTTTGTAGAGAGTAACTAACTCCTATTTCTAGGCCGTAAAATTGAATGAAATTTTCGCATAAATTGCAATATAAGATTAATTCTCACGCAGTACACAATTTAAATTAATGTTTTTTATATTTCTCTGTAAGCCAGTTGATAATGGATTCTATCATCGAATAATTAACTTAAAACTTCTCGATCAACTACTGCGATTCGAACAAATTTCCAACAAACAAAAGTTATTGCCATATAATTCAAATACTGCAAAATGTATGCTTCCTTATCCCGGGGTAAAGAATAAACCTCTCTATAATTCTATGACTAAACCTCTATGACTAAATCTCTATGACTAAACCTCTATGACTAAACCTCAATGACTAAGCCTCTCTATAATTCTATGACTAAACCGCTTCATCCGCCTAGAAAAAAGCCCCTGTATAAAGTGAGAGATATCTGTGACCTGAAACCGCTAACGCAATTGAAGCCCACATGAGTTCTTGTCCGTTGCGCATTCAATCTTCGTCTACTCTTTTGGCAATTTACAATTCAAATTTATTCAAACTGAAATTCAATGACCTTGAATGTTTGATACCGTGTATGCAAGTTTTGCGCTGTTTCGAGTGCGAGGCAATTCTTCAACCTATTTCACGTTAAATTAATGCTCGAATAATTATGCAACTTTTGAACAAATTTTCATTTTTCTGAAGATTATTGTCTATAACACAGCAAAAGATTATACCTTAACCACCCAGTTTATTATATTAGGTTTGAAAAAAAAAAATCTGAAAGCTGGAGGCCTCTATGCATGAGTTGGGTGGGAATGAAGACGCCTTAAATACTCGTATAGGATTCAATTGAGCTGAAGTTCTTAATTAAGCAGAATTTTGCTTTGATGTATCCATGTTCCAATTGACGCCCATGACGCTTGCATATATTTTAGTATATCAATTTCTTTGACGTTCAGTTATCATTTGATCGAGGGAGGGTGTCAACATTGCGAATACAATTCCTGACAAGTCAATTATTCGTTATCAATAACAATCGGTGAATATTTCCTTCAGTACATCGTTAACCTACTTTCCCACGCTAATAGTTAATTAATCAACTACCTTGTACGGAATGAAATTTCTTCACGAATGTTCGTTATTATTTTTATCGTTTGGAACAAATAAGTTTATGTAGATTAGCGTGTGCCACCATGTGTAGACCACTGAGTGTATAGATGTGCCGTATGCAAGGATGAACAGCGGATGTTTACTACGACAGCGACATATGTCACTGCTTTTATTGTGAATTACTATAACGACCGTACTTTATCTTGTTGTCATTGTTCTGTCTTTTATATCTCAAATCATGGTATATATTGGATACTTAGAAATGATTAACCTTATTGTCTAAATGTGGTTACAATGCATTACTATGAGAAAATTTTTAACTAGTAAACTTATTCAATACATACCATATTTTGCTGCATATTTCCTGGTCCTGTATCTAAAGAAACTGCTGGTTTAATAACTTCGTAGTAAAGCTGCCTCTCTGTCGGACTTGCGTTTAATTTAGTGATGTTACCCATAACCAATATAGCACTGATGATCAGTAATGTCGTAAAGCACTGTCTGTGTTTTACGTAAGAAGACATGACAGCAGTGACACGTGACGAACTCTATGACTGCTGGACTCAGACTGAGTGATGACGCAACGAGTTGCTCCTTATATACCAGTGTTGACCTCCATCTCCGTGACCCGCGGGTATAATATTATCATTATATTGTTGTTCATATTGATGAACATTTTTGGTGGGCTATTATTCATATGGATGGACATCATTTAGCAAAGAATATTTCTTAACTCATTTTTTTATCTTATTTTTTGCATTAATTGAGCTTGAAACTTTCTCGCAGCAGTATCAGCCGATATTACGATTATAATATCCGTTGTATTGTTTGTATTTTATTAAATATCATTCATGCATCACTCAATACTTTTTCAAACGCTTTATCAATCGCTGGCATTGGAGATACAATTAAAGTAATTAATGGCCCAAAAAGTATTAATGTTTAACGCAATCATAAAGGATACTCTTATGTTACCTGTGAAAGCGACCGATGCAATCCAGCGACCGTCTGAGCCGCGGCAGACGTAACTTCATTCGCCCACAGGACAGCCGAGATTCAATAAAACCGGATCAACAGTCATGGCCGATCGTGTCATCAACCTTGACAAGAATAAGACCACAATACGCCTTGAACTTTAGCCACTCAAACCAATTTCCAGTTCAGATAAGAATAGCACTATGGAAAAGGATACAAGTTTCCAATTGTTTCAGGAGCAGCAGGTTTTCAGAGGTGTTTTTATCGTGTTTAATGGAATAAGAAATCCAAGAAATTCAATTCAGGACAAGAAGTGGAAATGTTCGAAGTTGAATTTAATGAACATTTGTTTTTTTGTGTCCCCTAAAAGTAAAGATAAAAAGTAAAGAAAGCACTTCAACGGAGTGCGATTGGATCTTAAATTTATGTAAATAATAAATAATATATAATAAAAATGTAATAATTTAATTAAAGTTACAAAAATTAGGTAATAAATATAATAGCCTTATTGAAAGTAAGAAAAAATGGTTTCGAACTGATTCAAAGTAAAGTCTTTCTTGCTTGTTGCTTATTTAGGATTTAAATTGTCATAATTATGTTCAAGCGACTACTAAATTTTTATAATTGATTGGCCGACTAAATTTTTGTTTGTGAAACCTTAATTTCAAAATCGATTTATTTTCCAAAGTCCCTGTTTTTTTTTTTATCAAGGTAATAATTAAGGTTTATAAAATTATAACACTCCAATATGATACTCGTACGATAGTCCAAGTAGTGGGAAAACATATCGGAAATTTTCCATCTTCATATGAACCATTCCCGTTTTTCATAAAATATATTGATATTAACTCTTCCATGCGTTTCTCAACATGATTAACTGAATTTGAAAAAAGGTGATAGATATGAGAAAATTTTTTGTTCGTATATATGATCAGACGTTATCTCTGAACTTATTATCCAGCCAACAAAAATTCAATTAGGAATATTTCGATTGGAATTTGATGTAATTGAAAATACTAAATCCCGTAAGTCTTAAAATTAATAGTAGGCATGTTGAAAAAAAATTTCGCGTCTTACGAAACTGTTAACATAGTAGCAATTAAGTAGCCCTGCATCATTCCGGGCGATGGGCATCATTCCGGACACGAGCATGCATTCAAACCATCAATTTAATAATGGATTTAGAATTAATTTTTTCCGTCTCATCACGATTAGAATTATATTCGATGTTTAAAAAATACTGCATCGAGGAATGAAATCTTACCTGGGAATATGTTTCCGATAGTACGGCACGACAATTCAAAATTCTGTTGAGAATCGACCTCCCAAATAACATTGGAGGAATTTTCTGTGGAAAAAGAAATAAGGAGTTCATATTGTGCCGATATAAATCTACTATAAATCTAGTTTTGCATGATGTAATAGAAGTATATTGAGCGATACATACGAGTTTGTTATAAAGTGTTCGATAAACAACACGCGACACGTTTAGGGTGCCCACGCTGCAGTCCTTAAGTAAATTACATCAATAATAAACAGCGCACGTCGTCTGCGCTCGAGTCCAGAAGCGGCTCTTTTTCAATATCTTAGCACTTATCAACTGACATTTTTGAAGTTAGATATGAATCATTTATTTCCAATCTAGTAATCCGTACATAAATAATTGATAAATTCTGAGTATTTCTAACCGACGCATCTCCAGACAATTTTCATAGAAGATTTCTTTAACTGCATGTGGCATTTATATATTCCAAAGAAAGTTCTAAACATAATGAGCTAAATTGGATAGCACGATCATATGATGAGCTCAGTGAACGCAGCACGTGGCATGACACGCACATCTCGTCATTAACGACCTAATTTATTTCTCCGGTTTGATGCCCCACCGGCCATAATGAGCTACGTAGTTCCTCTGGATCACAAAACCACGTTTGAAAAACTGTAACATAACGTGCACAGACCGCTTGAATTGATAATATTTTTCATTACTTGTTCAATTTAACTAATTAATGATAATTCTGAACAAGAAACGTGTCTGAGAACATGTGTTCAAGTGACAGGAAGTTTAATTTATTCACTGACCATTGTAATTATGAATACAAATTTATTTTACTAAAGAAAAATTACTCGCGCGACTTTATTACATTATTTTAATTCGTCATTTTTTTCCGTTCCTCTCTTTTTTTGTAGGTTCTTGCAATGTTTAGCAACATCACGCGATGTTAATTTGGTAGTAATTCTCCCATTAGAAGCTCTCAACGTCATGATATGCAGACTCTCGACCTATTCATTCCAATTCACTTATCGGGCTCAAAATTATTTTCCATATAATATAATCAGTAAATTAAGGTCGCAACAAACAGTTTGAATATCTAGCTTTTTCTTGCGCAAACAATGTTAGTTTGAGCGCAATGAATGCAGGAACTTTTAGCCCGAGCATACTAGGGTAACAACCTTGCACACATCGTTGGCCATCATCATCAAGCAGCGGGAGGTCTAACAGCAATCTCCATGCCTGCTGGGAAAGCCCATGCACATGGTAAAAGTGCCACTCATGCCACAACCTCATAAATATTCTGGTGCTGCATTAGAGAATCTATATTCCCACGCCGTTCAGTAGCCATCTCCCAATGCATATATACCAAGAAAAATTTGTATATTTAGAAAAGTTCAACGCCTCACTTGAAAGAAAAGAAAACCTTTACGCGATTGCATGAATTGAACTCTTAAAGCGGGTGAATAAATGTATTGGTAACTCTGCTGGAGAGTACGCCTCATGGAGAACTTACTGCATGTACTAAGCACACAGGCCCGGTCTCTTTAACTCACGCCAATGTTTTAGATTTAGACGAACTTTAATTTGTATTAGGACTGTGACATTTACAGAAAAACTAATCAATTCAAAATATTGATTAACTGTAGCATGTTTGTGTCATCTGTATTTCCTCCGTCCTGCCCTGGGACACCTGGAGCAACTTGGAACTGCAAAGAACTATGCTGACGTAAATCCAGTCTGGCCATCGCTGACTATGGTTGAACTCTAAACCATGATCGCTGACCATCTAGACGTGAGGCGGGAGGTGAACCAAGGGGGAGCGCAGCCGTGCACCACCAATTTTGTGCACCTATAAGCCCTGAATCGAACGCCTTGGATCTCTCCGGACANGTAATACTGATTAATACTGACGACGTAAGCTGATCACCATTTGCATCCGGTATACATTTCAGACATAATCGAGCGCGCAATCGTCGCATTTTTTGGGAGAGTGAGTAGATTCCTTGTGTAAAGAGGAAAAAGTCTGCCAGTAAAGAAGAGAAAAGTTTACTGACTGCGCAGCGATTAGGTCTGTGTGGGCTGTGAGCCTGTGACAATAGCTACATCCAATAACTTTGTTCTTCTTTATTCGAAACTGGAGGATCTGGGAGCAAGCTTGTCCAAGCTCCAAGGTAGCCACTTGACAGGATATTAGTTTTTTATGTTTAAAGTTGGCGACATCGTTGGCCGAGTCTATCCAAAAAAATTAATCCGAAAAATGCACAGTAATCACTCGCTCACATTTAACGGGCAAGTAGTTCCTAGACCTTGCCCGCGATATGTGAAATGCGCGATGAAGAATTGATCCACTGATAGTATTTAATTATTTCTAAAGGAATTATTTGCTAAGTTTTCATTGGTATTTACAAACCCTTCCTATACTCTTACTCCGTTCGTGTTACGCGGTCTGTTTGAATTTGCCCATTGCCATCGACTCGGCTCGGTCGTCAGTACCACTTTTCCGGTTTCCCCAACCTGCGCTTTTACAGTTCAACTTCAAAGTTACTTCTGATACCATGATTACCATCTAAATATTAAACAAGTCACTGCACTCTGCAGCTATGCTTGTCCACCTCCACCAGTACTGCCTAAAGATCAAACTGACCAATGAGAAGGTGGTATAGTTTCACCAGTTCACTCCAGGCTGTTCCACAATCCACATGTCAGTCAGTTAGTGATTCAAAGTGAAAAACAATGTTGATGCATAGATGAGTTTCAATGAAGTTTTTAGCACATTTTTACCACGTTTTTCTTGACTTCGTTTCGTGTGGTGTGGGTCTGTCATCAAAAATTCAGACCTTAATTTAGAGCTCTTCTAAACATCCTAGTAAGTTGAAATTTGGCATGCATGTTTATGCTGCCTAACTAGGGTAAACGCGGTATATTCCGACATCGAAGGTAATTCCGTCACCTCTCCAGCTTTTCCTTTATATTAAGCTTTGTTTTAGTTCCATGCGTTTGTTGATGGTGGAAATGGTGATGTCATGCATTTGCAAGTCAAAATACTGCCAAAACACTAGGTCTTGGCCATCTAGTGGGAAAATATTGAGATCCAAAGAGAGACAATGCATGCCACGTGGTAGTGAAGTGTTTTGAGAGTCATGTGAAGGCAACAGAACTTACGTAACGCATACGTTTTTTTTTATAGTTTTTCATTTCTCGATGCGTCCTTAATGTGTCGGATTATACCGCGTTTACCCTAGGCTATTCAAGATTTGATCATCAGAAATAATAATGAAAAAAATTTTTTTTGAAAAAAAAAATAAAAAAAGAAAAAAATAACACCCAAAATTCATGGTTTGGAACTCAGTTTTTTTCTTGAACATCCACACTAGCCAACCCTGGAAATTGATTTGAATTGCTAAAATTGCTAACTAAAAAGTAGAAAATAAATATTAAAATTATTTTAAAAAGCCATGTTTTTCTGGTTTTTACAAAACTAAAAATAGTGAAATAAAACAAATAAAAAAACTTTTAAAAACCTCGTTTTCTTAACGGACAAAAAAGAAAAACATTTACTCTTGCATAACATTACATAAAATTTTACATAACTTAGGGTAAACGCGGTATATTTTGACATCGTGGGTAATTCCGTCACCTCTCTAGTTTTTCCTTTATATTAAGCTTTGTTTTAGTTCCACTTCCATGCATAGTGGCAAAGCAGAGAGTTTCTTAGACTCTCCCTAAAGTTCATTTTTGAGTCCCATAAGTAGACCAGTAAAGTATCCTGGATACCAGCCATATCATACATAAGAAATTGGTTTAAATCTTAGGTAAATGAGGAAGTTAAAAATGAACTGATTCTAAAAAATCTCTGGTTTGTCACTCTGCTTCCATGCGTTCGTTGATGGTTGAAATGGTGACGTCATACATTTGCGCGTCGAACTAATGCCAAAACACTAGCCCTGCCACTAGGTCTTGTCCATCTAGCGGGAAAATATTGAGATCCAAAGAGAGACAATGCAAGCCACACTCAGGAATCAGGATGATGTATGTTTTCGGTGAATTTTCCTGCACATTTTCACTTTTTTAAAGCTATTGCTGTGCACAGTTGGCGCAATGTAATGAAAATTTATTCTCTTAGAGCACGTGTTCGCGCAATCCCGGCCGCCAATTCTACGTCGCGCTGCCGCGCACGAGCAGTTTGTGGAGGAACAGACTCACATTACTCAGTACAGTATGCCTTTAATTATCTTTCAATAATATATGATTTTTCTTCTCTTGATACGGAAATTTGGTGAATGAGAAATCTAGAACTTTATTTTAGAAGAAATTTTCTCCAAAGTCATATGGCAACACTGAACACTGTCTGTTTACATTTCGTATGTATAATAGCTGCAGTTTACGATTACCGTACGGCGTACGTTCCGTATCCGACAAGGGGGACAAACGGAAGAGTCAGAAGTAACCCGGACATGTCTTACATTTTATTATTGTCAGTTCGACTCGCGTAGTCAATATACTCGCGTATATTGTCAACTAAAATAGTAAAACTATTTTAGCTTTCTAAAGTACGGCACACGGCACATTTTTTTACCAGCATAGTACGGCGCACAGCGCAGGTCGTTAAAATGACAAAATAAATTCCCGCGCACCTGGCACATCTTCCTGACCATGGAATGCAAGCTACCCAGTGAGATCATCGAAAAATGTGTCAAATTTGACAGTTGACCTTGCTCTACCAAATAGTGAATAACTGTTTGTATAGGAAGATAAAAATTAAAATTTGCTTAATTAAAAGCTTAATAGTTGTTAATTAAAAGCGTAATTAAGTAGTGTTCAATATTCATTAGTGTTCTAATTCAAAGCCGTGTTGTATTCCAATACAGCTCATACAGCGAACGGAATTCGAACACGTGGATGACGGCATTACGTATCAGTAGAATTTGAAGCGCGGACGGAATACGCCTCACCACGTGCCAAATATTGCCACACACAGTGTCGGAATATAGGGATTTGGTAGGTTTGCATTCTAAAGGCTTTTAAATAAATATGGGAACATTTTGTGACGTTTCATTGTTGCTGGCGCGTAGTACGGTGTTTTGCAAGTCACATAAAGCAAACAGAACTCAAGTAACGCATACGGTTATTTTTTTATAGTTTTTCATTTCTCGATCTTTTTCCACACTAGACTTTTCAATCATTACTCTCTTGTTGCAATCATGTCTTCTCATACTGTAATCTTGCTATTCATTGTTCTTCCCGAGGTGAAGTACTTTACACTTGTCAGCATTGAAACGCAGCTGCCGCGTATCAGCCCAGTTAACTAGACTGTCAATATCATTTTGCAATTGCACTTTATTTGATGCATCTTTCACTGTATTTTAAACTTTTGTGTCATCAGCATACATGAAGCACATGCTTGACACTACTTCTGGCACATTGTTTATAAAAACAATGAACAAAACAGGCCCAAGAATGCTTCCTTGTGGCATGCCACTGAGCACTGATGCCCAGTCTGACGCAGTTCCGTTAATACTGACACCTTGTCATCTACCTACTTGAAAATCTGATCCATTGGAATATGTTTCCCTCTATTCACAGCAACTTCACTTAACACAACAGCTGCTCATGCACAACACTGTCAAATGCTTTGGCAAAATTGAGGTACACTGGATCTACTGGCTCCATTTTCTCCAGCAGGAAAGTAAAATTATTCAATGTAGACAAGAGGTTAGTGGTGCAGGAACTACTGACAGTAAAGCCATGTTGACAGTCTTATAGGAAGTGGTGAACAGTCAAGTGATCAATATCCCTTGCAACAGTCAATCATAAAATTAGCCATTCAGATAGGAAATAATTTATTTACCACCAAAATTCAATGCCAATAACATCATTACAGCAATTAAGTTGCTGGCCTTAGATAGAAACCATCTATTTTATAAACAAAGCTGGATGATGTCATCCCAGCTAGCGCCATCAAAATAGCTAAATACTTCATAGTCATAACGAGTCACCTTGTGATTATTAAACCCTACAAATTGCAATGTTGACCAGCATTATATGGTTATTATTGATAAGTTTTGACTTATGTGAAGTTTCTGTCAAGTGGTGACTTATGTGTCATTGACAGATGATGGTAGTGGGGTGTGGCAATCTTGCGGCTCTAAAAATGGTTGGAAAGTTTCAGCCTATGACAGTATTACTTGAAAATAAGGCATTTTTATGCCTGCTGAGTGCTGACTGACTGACAATGTGCTAATTTACTTACTTTCTGGTAGGTTCCTTAGGAATTTACTTACCTTCCTCACAGTCACACTTGCCTAGGTAGGTATATAAAATTGTCCCCAGCACACTGTCGTGCAAACAGTCAGGAATATAGGGCAGAATTTTCTGAGAATTCTTGTAAAAAGATTGGTTCATAGGTAATTTAGAGAATTCAAAGACAATGCATCATATTTCCTACACTTTACTTAAGAAATTGGTCAAGGGCAATACAAACAGGTGAAATTGACCAGAGATGTTTTGTCATATTTTAGGGTGGTTTCAGCTTTATTTATTTATTTCTTTTTTTTTTTTTGGCATGCAAGCATTGGCAATTTTTATGCATTTACATGCAAATAAAGAAAAAATTTACAATTCTGTTTTTGACTTTGATAGTGTTTTGATAGCCACAATATCTAATTTGCAGCTCTAAGAAATTTGTTATTTTTGAAAATGTGAGCTTTTTTGCTATGAATACATTTTCAAAGTTCTCTAAAACAATTTTCATGCCAGAATTTTGTTCTGTATAGGATTCTTGGAATTGATAGCAAAAGCTTTATAGCTTCAATTGATTAATAAATTGGCTTTTTATGAGTTTATCAGATAAAATTTTGGCACAAATTATGATATGTGTTACACTAATTTCTTTGTTTGTCATTGAGACCCTGATTTTTTTTTAAGTTTATTATTAATAAATTACCTATTACTTCATTTCAATGGCTAAAATTTCCATGAAATCACAGAGTGATTTTGTGCTATAAACTTTGCTTCAGTAACATAAGCTTTTCATTGATGGGATCACAATATTTTGGCGATTTCCATTCTAATTTTTCTCATTTGTATTCATCCTTATAAATGTTTTGAGATTTATCTTTATAAGTTTTTATTACTGTTGTACAAGTTACTAGTATGTTCATCTGAAATTTTTTTTTTCCAATTTTAGAAATTTTATGAACAAAATATAGTTGTACTTGTACCTCATTTATTGAGAAAATTTTAGTATCAAATGTATTCATGCAAATTCAAATGACCTAGGGATGAATTATCCACTCCATGAAGCATTGCACCTTGCTGATGAAAAGCTTGTGCTCAAAGCTGTGAAGCTTCATCTATCAAAGGGAATCAATCCTAATTTGCAGTAAGTTTGTATTGCAGAATGTAAATGCATCCAGCTATTGATACATGACCTAATTATTTACACATTAAAGATTGTAAAGGTAACAGTATCCATGATTTTTTACTTTTGAATTTTATTTTGATATATAGAATTTTGGTATTGAGTAGTGAAATATTTCAAACTGTGTTTATGCCTATTGTTACGGTATGCGACAAATCATGTAGGTAAAAAGAACCACTTCTATTTGAGAAGTCATTATATATTCATTCTAAAATTCACTACCAAATTTTTTCAATTGCAGGGATGCAAGTGGCCGTTCTGCTCTTCACCTGGCTGCAGAGCGCAACTTCACATTGGTTGTAGAGGCTCTCTTGGCGTCTGGAGGCTGCCCATTGCTACATGATCTATCATACTCCAGTCCAATTGATGCTGCTGCAGCTACTGGAGCCAACCAGGCCCTTGCTATTCTACATGACTCTCTCAATGATACCAACTCTGATGAGCTGGATGTGCATGAGCCTGCCACTCTCACATTCTGTGAGTTGCCACATTTCAACAGGAACCTAATTATTATTCAATACAGTTGGGTTATTTTCTGCATGCTGAGGAAGTACAAAATTTCAATTTTCTTCAAACTTTTAAAAGAGCATTGAACAAGCAAGGAGTTGATTGTGTTTTCCCTTATTATTGTTACTACTTAAGTTTTAAAATGATCAATGTGAATCTTGTTGTATGTATCCTAGACAATACCAGGTTAAGCTGCTAGTCTTGTTAATCAAGGAGTTATCATGTACATGGAAAATAATTATTTAACAAACAGGATGTTGCAAACGATTGAAAAATTCAAAAGGAAATTTAGTTTGCTGGAGGTGAGGCACAATCTGAGGTGGGCAGTAGCGTGCTACATGTAGCGGCCGCTACATTTTCAGTAGCGGTAGCGGTGATACATTTAAGGCAATATAGTGGTAGCGGTAGCGCCCGCTACATATTTATGTAGCGATACGAGGTTTTGCCGCTACAGCGCTACTGCTACATTTATAGATAAAGCCTTTAGATTTTACTTAATAGTATTAAATATTATTTAAAAAGCAGCATGATACATACATAATATAAATTACAGAATAAAACTGTACGAAAGATTTCGGTGTAATGTTGTCAACCTTTTAGCCTGTTACTAGTGTCAACACGTTAGTTGTTACTTGTTAAGTTGTTACCAGTTACCACTTACAGGTATTTTTTCATGTTTCACTGTTTCAGTTTGCTTACAGTTATTTTTACACAGTTATTTTTATGTTTCACGTTCCCTACTCGGATGTCTACTTTAATCTACCAATCTCAAAAATAATCCACATATATATACAAACAAAAGGCTGATTTTTTATATGTATAAGTTGATAATTTTTGAGATTGGTAGATTATAGTAGACATCCATGTAGTGAAGGTAAAACATAAAAATAACTGTAACTTTTATTTACTGTATCTAACCCGTACTAGTTTGGTTGGGTTAATTGCAATAAAGTTGCATTGATATGTTTTGAAAATGTTTTAGTATCATTAAATGTTTATGAGTAAATCCCAATGGCAGAACAATGAATATTTAGAGATTTCCAATAATTTTGGCCATTGTAGCGGCTAATGTAGCGGCGCTACATTTTACTGGAGCGGTAGCGGTAGCACTCGCTACAATCTAGTGGGTGTAGCGGTAGCGGTAGCGCGCGCTACATTTAGAGCATGTAGCGGTAGCGGTAGCGGCCGCTACATTTCAAAGTAGCGCTTTATAGTGAAATTATTTGAACATTATATTTAAAAATATATGAGATGATATTTACTATTCACTTGTACAAATAACATATTTTTTTCAGGGCGCAGAGGAGCAGTTGTTATCCCCAATAGCTACCACCTGACTTCTCTGGACGGGAGCTTCCAATCGTGTGTGACATCTGTTGCAAACTGGGTGCGAAATTTGACAAACTTTTAGCTGAAAGTTCTTTAAATAAGGCTGAACAATGTTGTTTAATAGTCGATTATGAATCAAAAGCATAGGGTTACCTGGCTATTATTTTCATTAGCCAACCATATGTGTGTGTGCATGAGGATTTTGCTTACTGCTTTGGTATTCATTTGCTAGTATTTCTCAAATATAATTTTTAGGTAATAGCATCAAAGGAAAAACAGTTTCTACAGTTGTTTAGATGAGCTTTTTTTTCATCTAATGAATTTCTCTCAAGTCTCCCACCCAGGTGTATAGCAATTTATTAAGCATTTTATTTTCACCTCAAGTCTAAGGAAGTACGTTTCTCTATTCTGATCATGATAAATTTTCAGGTACTGCAATGTGGCAATGCCTCCCAAAATTTCACAGTGCCATCACGACCTGTTCCTTCTTCTGTCGCCTCCCAGGAACAAAATCTCCCAAACAACGCCATGAGTGGTTTGGATTCGCTCACCATTTATGATGATGAAAATTCGTACTCTGGCGCATGGAATACACGTACTGATATGTCGGAGATTTCTTGTTTTGAGCCAGATAATACGCTGCAAACAGTCCTCAACAATGCATTTTTAAAACCGAATGATTATTTGAGCTTTTTTAGTTATCTTGACCAGTGTTCTGAATTGAAGGAGTCAATAGTGTCTGATAACATTTTAGAAAAATCTTGTGGGTTTATCATGAAACATAACGAAAAGAATAAAATCTCGCGCGTTGACAGTTACCACTGAAGCACATGTGTCGATCACGTACACTGAAAAATATACATCTAAAGTTGTATGTAGTCGTGGTGAAGAAGATATGTGTGTCCGTGGTAGAGATTTATTTGAGTCTATCAATAAATGTGGAGCAGTTTTGTTTTCTAAAGATGCTAGCACTGAACCCAATGATGCATCTAAAATGCTGCCTCCAAAATATCCACGTATTTCTAAAACGTCCATGCCCAATGGTTTGCAATTTCCTGGCGATGGGAAGAAACCAAGTCAGTTAAATATGGTCCATGCCTCTGGGTTGAAACAAGGAAATGAGGATATAACTCCAGCTGTGGTTAATGCAAGTGCTTTGTCATGGAAAAATGTAGGCCAGAATCGAGATGTGGTGCCTTTTGCTTTGGATTTCACGAAAAAATTTAGTCAAGTTTATTGTTCTACGAACAGAGTGACTAGCAATGAGGATATGAACAACAACTATGAAATTCTTTCGAAGCCTTCCGTTCATGAGGTTTCTAGTAGTGATGAAAGTCGAAACGCCACTAAAGTCATAAACTGTTGTGATAAAGAGATAAATAACTCTTTTAAAATCTGTAAAATTTGTACCAGTAAAACAATTACAGAGTCATTTGATGTAAATAATTCGAACAATAAAAATGAGGTACGTGAGATGGACTTACCAGGTTGCGAAGCTGACCTCTCCACTAAATCGGTTGAAATCATCGATCATCCAGAAAGCATTAATAAAAACGAGTTTTGTGAAAAGGATTCACGGTGTTTGAGTAACTGCCCCATCACATTCCGAAATCGCAAAAAATTTCCCAAAAATTTTACCATTTCATTAGATGTGAATGATATATTTGAAAAGAGGGAAGGGGAGGAATATCAAGAGAGTTCCGGTGGATTTAGCGCAGCGCCAACAGTCTCCTTAGTTGAAGAATATATTTACGAAGATAAGGTCAATGGCATAAAGCTAATTGAACGAAGAGGTCCGACTTCCACTTGCGGTTCGGGGTTAGTATTCATTAAAAAAACACAGACAGGTAGCTCAGTTAAAAAAAAAAAAGTTTTGCCTCAGCATATTTTTTATGTGGAGAGTTTCTTTTGATTGATGAGTAATTTGTCACTGTAGAGAGTTGTGGTTTTATGGTTAATTTCTTTTCCAGGACTTGCTGCTTGAGTGCTCTTTCAAGAATGCTCAGCATCTCAGAGGCCCATTGTTCATTCGCTGAAAACCCAGGCTGCAGTGCTGTCAACAACCCTGACTCTAGACATGTAAGTGTTGTCAACAACCCTGATTCCCATATAAACTCCAAGAGCAACTCTGTCAGCAACGTTAGCAGTGCTCTGACCAGTTTGCCTGCAAGCATTATTGAATTGTCTACTCAAGCTTTAAAGCAGCAGCTGATAGAAGCTAAAACGCCCGTTCTGGGACCCATCTCTGACGGTACCGTCAAAAGCTACAAACGCCTTCTTCATCGCCTTAGAAAAGGCTGTACTGATGGTGTCCAAGAGGGTAAAGGTTAGTCTAAACAATTGTGGTGTTTACCTAAGAATAGAGTAAAATTTAGTCTCTAATATTATATCGTGCAAGGCTGGTTTCTTCCAGGATAGTTAATTGTCAGGGTATTTCAATTATTCAGTTCAAATAGGCACTTATAAAAGAATGAAAAAATTTAATTGCTTTTATGTTATGTTAATATTATGTTAATTCCTTAACGTTGAAACGCGTATGGACTGGTTTCTCGACCGAATTTCCCAATGAACAGGCATTTGAAATATTGGCATTTGAATGGCATGTTTGAAACATGGCATTTGAAATATTCTTAAAAATTGCATTTAATTATGACAAAATTATGATTGTCTTTTAAGCGACTGGTGAGTATGCTATTAGTAACTGATAAATACCTAGTGTAGAACAGATTATAATATGTGAATATTCATTAATTTATTATTATTAAAATCAATCAGATGTGGTCTACCCTCGCGAGCTGCAGCAAGCTCTCCTGCATCCGGACAAGGTTCCTTGGGACAGGTACCGGTACTGGAAATTGTCGCCAGGATTTGTTTTAATAAACATGTGTACCTACAATTAGTATCAATTTCATATGCGTTCCATACTTTTAATTCGATAGAATACTGTAGCTATTTCGATTTTTGAGCTTTCAGCTTTGTTGGTCCTTTTTGCTCCTAATTGTAGAATAGGAGAACGAATATATCAATCTAAAGCTGCATTTGGAGAGAACTTAATCAGAAATAAGTTTGATTTACATCAGTAATGTGTTCCAGAAATTATGACTGATTTTTTTTGCACTCGTGCGATATTAGATCTTGTACATTTCCAGATATTAGTAAAAATGCACTTAGTTGTGCAGAAAAGTTCACGTTAGCGCATGTTTTTATTAAAAAGACTATTTTTTTTTGCAGGTATGTGGAGTTGGAGCAAATTGTGAGCCGTGCTTTTTCGCAACCTCGTTCCGTGGATTACTGGCGTGGGGGAACTGCTCGTGTGTGTTTCAACTACCTGTTGTTGGATCCATCAGTGACGTGTGACCTGCCAGTGCGGTAAGTTTTTCCATGTGCATTATTACATCTTCATTATGGAAGTTAAAGTAAGCTATTATTTAGTGCCGTTTTGTCGTGACTATTTTTTAGTGTTCACTTATGAGGAACTGGCAAGGTTCTCTTTTTAAGAGTGGCTGTTGCTCTGGCGAGGGCTTATTGCTGGTCGTAACGTCGACAAGTTTGGCGCGCTGAGAGGGGTGGAGGGCGTGAGGCAGGGTGGGGAGGGTTGACTCGGAGAGGAAAGAGGTAGGCAAATGATAGGAGGTTCTGAATGTCGCAGCCTGGACTAAACTGTCCCACAGTGTGGAGACGAGCGGTCCATGAGGTCGACGGACAGGAGAAAATGGGTTGTGTGGAGTGAAGGAGTATCACACTCAGAGTAGCGCCCCTCCTGCAAAGAGTGGGACGTAAGGTGGTTGCAATAGTCGACCGCAGCTAAACCATCGTAGAACGATTGGGGGAGAGGGTGCATGGGTAGGAAGTTGACGGGCAGCTGTTGTTCTCAGCGATCTTCGCGGTATGAGAGATTACCCAATGAGGTTGGGTTGGGTACACCTAGCATCCCCATAGGGGCCAGCAGACAAGCTGCTGTCGACTAAGAAATGAACTACGAGATGGCCAAAGTAAGATCACTGAGTAGTTTTCATTAGTATGTCCTTCAGAGGGGCGGGAAACGAGCGGGAAAAAAGGAAGGTGGGTCTGAAGAACGCTCTGTCAAAATAAGTTTGAACATACGAGATCGTGCTGAGTGGCCAAAGAAAGGACCTCTGTCTCTGTGTATCAGGGTCATCTTAAGCTGTCAGTGGCGAGCCTCAAGACGGAGTTCTGTATGCCATGCAGGCTCGCAACACTGAAGGTCAAAGTTTAGCAGATTGGGGCATAATCTAGCTTTGGGTGGGTGATTGTTTTGTAGGTGGCAGTGTCCGCTGTCACCAGGTCTGCCTCGGCGTCGGATCGGATGCATTGATAAAGTCAGATTTAAAGTGGTTGCAGGGCGCGAGAGAGACTACGGACTCTTAAGTGACTTCAGAGTGAATGCTAATGTCCAATGTTTGCTTTTGAGTGTTGTCGACTGGTAGTTATAACGTATAGGATTAGGAGGCCATATTTTGTAAAAACTTTTTTTTATTTGAACGCATCTGATCTATCATGATATTTTTGCAGAGTCCACTCGCTCGGTCCACAAGAGGTTTTCCAGGTGTTCATATCTTCAATATTCTACGTCGGGAAAGGCACCAAAAATCGCCCCTACGCACATCTATACGAGGCTTTGAAACTTTTCAACGCCGAGGAGCATCATGTAATATTTTATCACCTATTATTAGTAATAATTTGGCTTTAAATTCCTTCTGTACAATTTTACTGCCCGCGGTAGGATGCAAGATAAACGAAAGTTGACATTTTGTATGTGGTGTAAAAAAATGTAGATTTTTTGTCATCTGGAACTTGCATTAAAATTGTAAACAGTTCGAAGCCCAAATTTCTTTAGAATTAGTTGACTTTGTAGCCATGTCACCAAGTGTCAGTGCAAAAACGAAATATTACTAGAAAATTTTTTTGTTTGTTATTAAGTAATACTGGAGGTTTTCCTTTGCATGTTGAGGGTAATTCACGCAGCACGAAGATCAGCGCCCAAGCACAACGTGTTGCCAAACTCTGGCGTGAAGGCAACGGCGTTGTTTCTCTGAACTTTTTCCATCACTCCATCTGCGCCGAGGCTCTTACCAGAGAGGCTGCTATTATTGATGCTATTGGTGCGCATATTTTTAAGGGAAATGGAATGACAATGAGCTGAGGTTTTGTTTTTGTGTCATGGCAGACCTCTCGATTTACGCGGTGGGAAAAGTATTTGGCGCAAAAACATCCATGGGCATACTGAAATTATGTCACAAGTAGAAGTAAAAACGCGTCTTCATCAATAATAAAAAATTTCGTTGAATTTTTCTTCTTAAGGTGATTTGGATTTGCCGCTCAATGTTAGATTTCAAGGACTGTTATGACTATTGCCATGATCTGAATTTTTTTCTGTCTGCTTCGAAACTGGCCGTTCATCTGTAAATTTTTGTGTAAAACGAATGCCGAGGAATTCCATTATATGTATTGTATATAAAAGGATTCTTGAATTATTTAGTGTCATATGTTCAGCCAATACAAATCGCGCCATGATACTTTAAGCATTGTAGTACATTTATCGCGCCCCTTTCATGTGATGAACAAAAAGAATGTACAAGTGTGCTGAAGCGATGCAATATCACTGCTCGTAAGTATCTGGCAAGTTTTTTAAGGAGTGAAAACTTGTGAACGGCTAAATGTTCACAGTCCTGAACCATGTAGACTAGATTGAATTTTTATTTTATTGTTGTGCTAGTACAAGAATTTATTTTAATGCAAAGAATTTTTAAAAGAGGCAATACATATTTACTAGATTGGTTTGCGATTACAACAAAGCTGAAGCAAACTAGGCACGAATACATCTCAATTTGCAATTTTCTCCGAACGATGTGCATTAGTGACATTCAACAAAAAGTAAAACTAAAAAAAAAACGGAAAAAATATTTATCCTGTTATCGTCAGAGTGATGACCTTGTTTGTCAAAGGACTTTCAGTCACTACTGGAAACACTCGAAATAATTAAAGTATGGGTTTCTTGTAAAGTTATTCTCAATCACAACGATTGAATTTATCAAAAAATGACATTAACTCAAAATTAACTTTTTAAGTTCCATTATTATTGGCTCAATAGCTAAAGATTAATATTGCATCCAAACTAACAGGACGGATTTAGATATATGTCGCCATAGCAAACGAGAGTCGAAATCGTTATCGATTTTTGGTGTTTTAAGAGAGCTTAATGACGCGTGCATGAAGCCCCAAGACATGAAGTAGTAACAGGGCACGGCAGAGAAGGACCAAATAATCCCTCTGACTTTGGTTTTGTGCATTATGGGCATTTGCATTGCACGAGCTATCGGTCATTGCCCTTTATTTGAATTCAAATTTATCCCTTGATGCGTAAACTGCAGATGCTTCCCGACTTTAACACTTCTTCCTCATTGATTTAATCTGGTTATTCATATTGAATTTCAATTCCATCGATTTTCAAGGGGTCCTCCCTGTCGCACCCCTAAGTAAGACTAGATAAAACTGAACGTGTTGCTTGTATAGTATATGTTGTCATATGCTTCTATTGAGGTACATTTCAGAACAATTGATTTGCATGAAAGCCTCCAATTTGTTGAAACATCAAGGAGAATGGTTTGTTAGTCTTTGATAAATAATTTTATCGGCATGAGTAATCAAGGGCCTATAACTTACTCCGTCATGGACTATTTCACCGCCAGGTGGCGATCGGGTGGTACAATTGCTAGTGTGTTGCTCGTGTATTCTGCAGACTGCAAGTGGTTTATGAGGCGGGTGGTCAGTGGTGAACAACCGAGTCCTCAAAAAACGGATCCGAAGAAGAAGAAGACTGCAAGTGCGTAATGCGCATTGCCGTACGAACGTTGGTGAGGTGAGTTGAGCGCCGTCTGGTCCTGCAACACATCTTTCTAAGTAAGACAATTGTGTAAGCAATGATTAAGCGGTATCGACTGTAGATAAATTGCATTCCTTAGTCATGTTAGTTGACAATTCTTGGTTTCAAGCTGTATCAGGAAACTCGTGGTCTATGGAAAATCTTTTCGTTGGCAATGATCAAAAGATGTATCTAAATTTTGACGGCAGAGGGCGGAGTATTACGGATCCCGGTGAAATTATTCTCTTCAGCTGTTCAGAATGACTAAGTATCGGGTTACCCTATTGTATTGGAGACGTTTCGTTGGCATAGTAGTACAGTTTGTTGAAGCAGTTGTTTTGCAATTTGTATGGCTGATCTGAATCCTCGTTGTCAGCAGCTAAACAGCTTCATTCTATTTGTTAGTCGATACGAAAGCGTTTCAATTGTACTGCCGGATAAATCTAGTTTCTGTACCAAGGTGAGTACTTCTATCCAAATTGAGCTTACCTTAAATGCCTATAACGTCGCCACAGCGCGCAAGTCACCGGCTTTAAATATCAACTATAAATTTTTTGAACGAAACTGAACATCTTTCTAGCGCGATCTTAACGGCTTCGTAATCATTATGTGGGTATCGAACTACGGAATCGTAGTTTTGACCAGTATTTTATGGTTTAGTGACGAGCGGTTAGGTATGTGCAGAATCTGCTGAGTGACCTATGCCTCAATGAAGGTTTTTTTTTTAACATTAAAGTTAGGTTTATGTGAAGCAAATGTGCTTATGGGACGTTTTCCAAATTTATTATGCAAATTGCTACATTTATATTGTATTTTGGAAATTATCTTGAATACTTTTTATCGTAATTCGTTTACAAGTATAATGAACAAAAGTGGGAGGATGATTTATTTTCTACGTATTCAATTTGAGATCGCGTTGATAGTACCTTTTGCGCTGCTTACAGTATTCCACTTTTAAAATGACCTTGAATTCATAACAATTCGATCACTAAGTGATAAATCTATAGATATTGTTAATCTTCATTTTTGTGTAATTTAAAAATTTTGCAGATGTTAAATTTTACTTCCGTTATTTGCCTGGTTGTTAGTCCTGGAACGCCTACCAACACAAACGGCCAAGTTGTAATTTTTTTTCACTTAGTGAATTTACTGATTTTACTCGATTCTAATTTAAAATTTTCTCATTTTTTCTTTGCATCTTTCAGTCAATGTAATAAGTGCTACTAAATATCAAGATGTCTGCCTTCCATAAGTCTGCTCCAAACTGTGAATTACTCGAAATAGAAATCGATACGAAGCTCAGGAATCCTGACTGTCCTCTTGACCGTGTGCGCCTGTGTCTCGACAACTGCCGGATTATGCAGAGTAAACAGGTGGTTCTGGATTTTGATGATATTGACAAGTTTATAGTGGAACAAAAACCGTTGTTGCGACGTCTTGTACACACCCAAGGTGATGATTTTGAATCAGACGCGACTTGTGGAATAATTGAAGGTGGTGAACGCATCCTCGACAAGGTGCGTAGGTATTTGCAGAAGCACAGAGACGACTGTAGCAACATAGATTTCGAAGCTCTTGATAAAATGATTATCGAGCAAAAGTACGCGCTGATGCTTCTAAATGGCGACCCTATCGCTCGAATGGTTATTAAATCGAAATCTGTCGACGATGAAATTGGAGGAACGGCTTACCAAGGCACGAAGACGTCTGAATGCGATGTGCATTGGAGCTCTCGATATGGTGGAACCCCTACACATAATGAGACTGCCGCGCTTGCACACCATCCAGAAAGAGCCCTCTTAAAATCAGAAAACCGCCCCAGAGGAACTAACATTTCACCATCAGCTATGGAAAAGGATTCAAATGAAGAAAATGGCAGAGTTTCTGGAAACGTCGAACTTCAAAATTTGACTAAACTTGATCGTCAAGGCTCCGTGACAACGAAACGCCAGGGACCAGCAGGAGAGAGTCGCCCTGCTGCTGTTCGCCGCTGCATCAGAGTCAGACCATACGGTGGAGATACAGGCGAGATATTTAGTTCTTACCATTTGGCTTTGAATACATGAATCGTCGTCAGTGTCTGAAGTTTGTGTCTGAAGGCCTGGGGCCATACTTTCAAAAAAAGTTAAGTGATCGTAAGTTCATCAGCAATCGTTGACGGCCTTTCAAGCAAAATCCAACAATCATAGACGAGAAAATAGAGCGTAAGTACTTGCGTTCACTTTAGCAGTTTTGAAACTATGGCCCCAGAGGCTGGTTACTTGTTACCGTCAATTCGCAGAGGAGGTCTGTAAAACAGTGGTTTATAAACGGTGGTGTGCCAGTACGCAAAAATTGATGGCGTAGGAATGGTTTTTCGTTATTTTTCACGTCACTAAATCGCTTACTGCCTAATGTAAAACGTTTTGGTTCCTATTCGTTACAATTAACATTCCATCCTCCTGATCCCAGCGGCCCATTATTGACTTCAAATAGTACGTATAATTAGTTCTTTAATTATTAGTTGGATTAAATGCCACGAATAATTCTAATTAGCTGCTACTTATACCTCACGACCTCACAAAAATTTTTGGAGCTACAGTTTCCGAGATACATTAATCATAGCCAAAGAAAGTCTTACGTGGATTGCTGGTAATCTGACTCACAAAAGCTGAATAAATATTCTGTGCTTGTTTCTAATAAATAAAATATACAGTAACTAAAAATAATTCAATTTGTTGGTTATTCTGTAACGAGATTAGTTTAATTAGTGACTGTTTATACTGATTGAAATAGTACTTCCTACGTTTTTTCACACATTTTCATCAAAACTGGTGAACTTCATGTAACAAGTTACTAATTCATTCTTTTACTAACCACTTTTCTCGCCATTTATTTTATCCATAACATCTTAATCGAGGTAATATTTCTTGGGACAGATCATCGATAGATAGAAATCGTTATCGTTATAATCGTTTATCAACTTTTAGCTACTAATGTATCGTCCTATTTATTAATTTGAATCCACATAATAGTTCTATGCAATCGAATAATCCTGGAATGGATATAAAATAGTATAACTCAAAGCGACTAATTTTTTTATCTAAAGTCCGCAAATGGTTGCTTACTTTTACTGAATATGATGCTGGCTTTTCTGCCAATTTCAAAGAAATTCTTATCAAAATGGGGCTGATTAGTAAAAGGAAGAACTGGATCATCGTCAATTGTTGTTACTTGAAATATTAACATTCCTTCTCCCTTGGCTTCTGAATGTGGTAGCGTATATGCATATATAATGGCTCAAGTAATTTATAATTCCTTCGGTTTTCTTTGGACTAAAATTTTTCGCACAATTTCTATTTTGAACTCCTATCGACCGTCAGTGAGCCTTTATTGCTATTAGAAATACTCGGCTGATGATGAAATACCTCGTCCACAGGTTCCTACAGTCGCCACCTCTACCATTACTGGGCTACAGAGGTGATTTCGACGCTGGGGCTTGATTTGCCAAGATTTATGTTGAACTTGTTGCTCTTGCCTGTGAGTATACCTATTCATTATTCATATTCTACAAAAAAAAAACTTAGCCGAAGTCTTTAGATATAGACATTTTTATGGCTTCAATTAATAAGGATGGTCTAGTTCAACATAAGCCATTACCATTACGTTTCAACTCCAGCTTTTATAACTAGTTTAACCTTTAATATACTATAAAAAAATCGATTTCCATTAATGCTGTCATTATAGGCATTGATGATTTTATTATAACGAGACTATAGCGAGCTTTTAATTATATGCCCGTAAATATTTAATTTCCTCAATTAAAACTTCAAAGGAGGCATTTTTTTCAGCATGTTAAGGTTGTGATGATAATGAGACAATAATGTTGGCACATTCAAACGTTGATTTAAACAAAATTGCGCTACTTGGCAGGCCGTTAATGAAAAACCTCTTATCTAAACGACAAGACGCAAAATTATTAACTTATGAATAAGCAAAAAAAAATGCCACATAATTCAACATTATGCTACATCCATCCCGTTTTCTGTTCTGGGGAACTTTCGCAATTTCATAGCTACCAGAATGCACTAACCTTCATCTTGCATTCTAAAAATAAGTTTCTCGAGACGTATTCTTTGTGCGTCATGGTCATACTACCGTCTTGAAGTAGGTTTTTTTTATAGCCTGTGCCTACTCGTCGAGATGTCTCGTTTTAAATGCGAATACCTTCCTCATCTACACTTGGGTAGATTTTAGCCATTTTTCACTCGTATGCTGTATCCATCCTAAATCAGTTACACTCCTAAATAATCCTAATATAAATACCTTCATCTCATTAAACTGTTTACCGACCTCAAAACCATCATTTAATTATTGTTGCCTGATACAGATGTGGGTAGTGCTGGTGTCAATGGCAGAGGTATACTGCGTGTGCTTGCGCATCATGGGTTACTTCTTGGTCGTCTTGACTAGAGACTTCTGCAACATCGCGTCAGCACTGATGCGCGTCGTTGAATACGTGTTTGCGAAAAGCAACATCGAGGAAACTACATCTCGGATAAAGGACACCATTTATGACGTGAGTGATTCGGTTCTGGTAGCTTCTCCAGATGGTCTGATTAATCACTGTTTGACTTTTTCGAGTCTCGATTAATTGAATAGATAACAAAGGCCATTCTTCTATGTAAATATTGTCATCAACTAGTATTGTATTTTACGCTTGCAAGGATTTAAAGGGAGGGATCTTCCGATAAGATGGAGCAGTTATCTTATGAAAGTAAACAGGAATGGAGACAAAAACGATTGTTATTGTACAATTGTATTGTGACGAATGTTATTGTCGATCACGACAATAACAATCTTGAGTAAAATCAAATCGGCAAGCCATATCAAATACCATTTTGAAATCTTGAGTAATGTTTCAGACTTTTTGCGGGCAATGTGGACGCGAGACGGTGAGAAACCTGAAACAACGTCAACGAGGCGAAGAAGGAAACTATACAAAATAGTCCAAGAACTTGCGACGAGGCCATTAGTATATGTCATGAGGTGCGAAATGCATTGAATATTTTAGAAGCTTTGATACATTGTTCTGTTTTCAAATAAATGCGTTCCTTACAAAACCTTGAGAGTAAATACCTCTTAGTAAAAGTAACGAAATTTTCGAGCGACTCTTTTGGATTAAGGATAAATTAGGGAGAGGTAATATCGAATGATAATGTGCGATAATGAGTATTGACAGATAAGATGCGTAACGGCTAATATAAAATCGTCACTGAAACTGTAAAATTTGAGGTCTCGTATTATGAATTGCAAGCGATTTGAAGTGACATGTTATTGATTTACATGGATGAAATTGCCAGGTGATTGTTGTCGAAATCCCATACCAACGTGAGGCAATGGTAATTGCGACGAAAATCTCAGATGAATGTAAAATCAATTCATGCACAATTCATAGCGTAAAAATACGCATTTCATCAACTAGTATCATGATTTACTTACACGACGACTTTGTTGTTGAGATTGGCTAAATTACAAGGGTTGTTTGTGAATATTCCACATTTGGAACATTTTCATTAAGTGTAATTCCGTCTGCACATTTTCTGGGTTATGAAGTCTTCGGTGTACATTTTCTGGGTGATGAAAAGTCTTCGGTTGCAGGCATAGCGGGTCTTGGCCAATCAGTTATTGTGAGACTTCTTGCAACGATGACTTGAACTGATGATAGCAAAGCGATCGTTCAGAGCCGGCAGTGTAGGGCGCTCTAAAATGCATGCCGCTGCTCTGCCAGCGCTGAAATTAGGCTTCAAAAATACGAAATTCGTCATTCCCTCTCTTCTTAGACTTTCAGGCGGTGTTTACATTCACAAGTAATATAAATCCGTCTTCATATTGACACATTTAGAGAATTCAGGCAGAGTATTAGGAAGAGGTTCTAACGAATTGACCTCGTCACAAGATAAGTTAAAATCGCTTCTGAACAGAAACGAGCTTACTCGAATATCTCGGATGATTTAATTTAAGGGAATGCAGAATACATTAGGATTCATTCGTGTTGCAGATCCTATGTTTTCAAATTATCTAGTCAGGTTTAAATGTTCATTCCGCATTTCCATTATGATTTTATGTATTTGTCGAGTCGTTCTAACGCTACCATGCATGCCTGAGCTCCTTCCCTGTGAGGTGTACACTCACATTTAAGGGTCTCAGGGAACGCAGAGAGCGCATGTTTGAGCGCAGGATGAAGTTATTGCTGCCGACGAGCTGACGACTGACAATAGCAGTAATAGTAGCATTGACAGTGATAGTAGCAGTTCCGCCGTGGCTGTTGGGGTGACAGCTTATCGCCGTGCAAACATTTCTGGCAGGTGACAATCGGGGTGCATGTAGCTTCAGTTTACTTAGCGTTCATAGTTGTTTGGTCACTTTGGTGATACAACAGCAAATTTCAGAGCACGTCGAGAAGTACTGAAATTGTACTTTACTGAAAGTGTACTGAAAGTGTTTTTAACATATAGTTATGCAAAATCAATCTATTCACATGCATTCGCTTAGCAATCATTGATGAACGAGGTAAAGTCAATATCTGCCAATATGTAATCCTTTTAAAATAGGTCCCCAATCAAAATTTGAGAAAGTTTTCTGTCTAATTTTCAAGAATGAACATCATGAGAAATCGAATAAATAACTATGGAAGATTTACTTATCTATGTATATATATATATATAATGAAGACCTCAAATTAAGTATTAATTACGAAATTTTGATAAAAGTATGTATACATTCAAACTATATATATTAGATATCAAGGAAGTGAACATGAAATTCAAATGTCTATTAAACATCAAAGGATTATTTATCCATTCAGTTGACACTCAATTTGCATATAATTAGATGACCACAATCACCACATGATTATTGACTTCGACAACGCTAAACTGAACGTGAATTATAATTTGATGCACTTTTCAGTTGAATGATTGGTTGATCTATGTATAGAATCCAAGTGGAAATGACTGTTGCATAGCAGGTAAAACCAAACCATTTCGGAGTCGCTGAACACTGGTATCAGGTTTGCCACTTCGTTGCCTTGAGATGGGTGGGTCTCTCCAACTGGTGTGTAATAAATCAAAGCTGATTTTTGACCAGTTGACGCGGTCAAAAGGTTTATCTTCGAAGACGATTATCTGCAAAGGAAGAGAAACCTCATCAAAAGGAAACTAACTCCTGTAACATAGTACAGACAACTACACTGAAAATATGAAACTCCGACCATTTACTGTTACTACATCAATGTTGTAAGATGTACAAGGTTTCAATATACTCGAGACAGCCTTTCACAACTACGAAAAATGTGGACTTGAAAGTCATTTTTATCTTGAGGAACGAAATTTAACAATTAAAAATTGTGACATGATCTAGGACGATTATTATTTTTGCAGTAATTTTTTGTGATTTCAAGTAATCCATTATATATTAAAGTTCTGTCAAAAATATGAATTCAAAGGTAAGGTCAGACAAAATAGCGCTATGACTTGATACGGCTATAGAAAATATTAGAAAGCGTCTAGATAGAGTATCAAGCGTCATGACTTTAACATAGAACTGAAAATTATGAAAGAACATGTATATTTTTATTCACACATAACATAACACAGAGGAGCTTTGTGCGATCAACATATAGATGAAAATTGGCTATCCACTCGAGGAAAATTCGTTGAACATTCATTTCTTTGTAATATCTTCTTCCTAACTTATTCAATTAATTTTAAATAAAGACTTGAGACCGTCGACAAGCAGCCTGAGGTGCGGAAGTGCATGAGGCAGCTGCCTCCGATGCAGCGTCCTGCGTCACACAAGAAAGCTTGCATGCATTGCCTCAGTCTCCCTGGATTGACGCTTCTCCATTACTCGCGTGTAGCATCCCACCTGCTTGTTCGACGCTCTATATAGCTGGAAGCTGCTGATTTAGCGTCTATCTAGTGAACAAAGGAATGACACTTAATTATACTCTTTCAAGGAAAAAATTAACTTAGTGTTTGGCAACGTTCAAATTCGATCGAATCTTCCGCGTTACCATTTGATCGAAAATTTCGGTTCCGCGCGTGATAGAGTTGGCCTATTAATTAAAATATTTCAATACTACAGGAAGTAGAAAACATTTCACTGACGTAGAATACTTCAGCCGAAATACGCTGAAAATAAAATTTCAAAATGTGTTCAATATTTCTAGCTTTCATATTAAATTAATTTTCCGTCGCAAAGACAAGCAGGAAAAAATTGAGGAAGCTTACTTAATGGTAGTTATTTGTTTCGTCACAATATAGCGTCCTCCGTGTAACAAATTGAATTTCGACGGACATTCCCTTCCTGCATGTGCACGTCAAGCCATCGTTATCATATTACAGGTGTACATTGGACAACCTCTAAATCAGGAAATACGATAGCATCATATCAACAACCAGACATCATGATAGAATCTTGGATCTCGCGTGGATTTTGACTCAATCAATCCGAATAGTAGGAGTTCCTATAACAATTCCTGCAAAACACGGATTATTTGCGATAAGTGTAATCTTGGTATTTCAATTTCATTATGTAGATAATTCGACTAATGAACGCATTTCTCACGAGCAAAAAAAGTAAAATGTGACAGTTTGCAAATCTAAAGATATCAGCAATATATAAGAACATAGTTTAAACGAGTTAAACTAATGGACCGAATCCATTAACTTTCAGACATTCATTGAGAATTAAGTGATTCAATTCAATAAATGACGATAATACTTCGCATAAAAAGCATAAATGTTGAAATAAGTCGCAATTAATGAGCTTATTTATACCCGCGATGCATGTGTATTCTATACGAGGCATGATTTTCCAGTAAGGACCGTTTTGGAATCAAATAATTGCGTTTAGAAATTAATTTTCAAAGACAACACTTCTAAGGAATCAAATGTCTTTGATGTTGCACATGTACAATGAGTTTCTAATTTCATTTTCAAATATTAAAAAATATGAATTTTTAATTTTTTTATATCTAAAAAAATTAAATTTTTAAAATTTTTTTTTTCTGTCAATTGATTCATGGATTGTCTCCGACTTTACGCAAGTGTGCAGCAAAAGTTCAGATCATTTGGAGAAGTATAAGAGTGTTAAATATCGATTATAAGATTGTAGCAGACAAAATTATTTTGTAAATTTTTTAGCATTGAATTTTTTTTATAAAATTATTTATTCTGTCAATTGATTTATGCATTGTCTCCAACTTTACGCAAGTGTGCAAAATTTCAGATCGATTGGAGAGATAGAAGTGTGTTAAATGTCGATTATAAGATTTGTAGCAGACAGACAAACAAACAAACAAACAAACAAGAAGTGAAGTTAAAGAGAAGTGTTGTAAAAGAGATGAGCACAGATATCGCAATAATTTTATTTCTACATGAAAGCCTCTACCTCAATCTACTTTTCTACATAATTTCCGTGAATATTGATCGCACTTGTCTTAACGTGGTCCAGTTTCTGAATACCCTCCTGATAAATTCTGTCGCCTGACTTGGAGGTGAAATTCTGCTTTAATTCTGAATTCTGCTGCAATGGAGGTGAAATTCTGCCGAAAAACGCCTGAAGTTCAGGCGTTTTTCCCCCGAATCAGGCGGCAGAATTTCAGGCGTTTTGCAGCAGAATTTCACCTCCATTTCAGCAGAATTTCCCCTCTGGTATAAGGCTATGAGCAACATTATATATCGGCACTCGTGCATTAATATCTCTGTTTTTCTTCCTAACACCTTGTTTTTATAGCTATATATCGTTTTTAACCATCTGCGCAAGAAGAAAGCTACATGTCCTTAACAACTAAAATAAAATCATTACCAGATATAGCTCGTTCGAAATGAACCCAGAACTGGTATACAATGAAGTATATAGAGATTATATATAATAATACATGGCCGTTAAAAACTGAAATTTCATTGTACCTATAGAGTGGCTAGCGAGAGGTGTTGTTGAAATTGAAACAGAAGATTAATAACATAATCAAGATTATAGACCATTGAATAATGTAAAACCGGAAGAAATAATGGAGTCCCTTAATTAAAAAGTCAATCGATTTCTTGAAAATGGAGTTTTTCATTAAACTTGCACAAGAATAAATTCCTCGACTTTTAGTTTTCATTAACAGATAATGTGGAGTTCGTAAAAACACTGGAGATGATTTGTTAGAAGATCAATTTTTATTTGGCAAAAATATATATTCAATAATAGGAATAAATAATTCCGGCTTTAGCTACTTACAGCCTTACAGGGGCATTACTAATCCAGTAAAAAAAATATATACGATATGATCAGAAAATAATTTTGCTCCTTTTTTTATAATCATACTCTCATAATCGTGTGTTAAAATTGAATTGACAAATTTGAATTTTCTGTCAGTTTGAAACGACGGCAAATAACAGCAGTTTAAGGTAATATAATGTACCATATGTCTCTCTGTGAAACTTTGGATTTGCAGATTGCTGCGCACGCCATCTTGCGTCCGATAAAATGCCTTCAGAAATGACTTATCATCCGGTTGTAAACGAGCCCATTATTCGGCAACCAATGCCGCATGAGAACCCTGCACTTGATAGCAGAATTTCGGCCAGAATACGCCAGTATGAAGTATTAGTTATTCCTGTTAATTGAGATTAGTACAATCTGTGAACTTAGTCGTTTCAGTGATGAATCGTCAAAATAGTTCTCGTTCTTTCCAAGATGTGCCATTATGCCATAACATAAAGTGCAACGAAATAGTTATGATAAAAATAGCCGTGGTTCATTAACCGAAGCCTTACCATAAAAGGGAGATTTAGAAACTGAAGCAGATTTGAAATCGCCTCACCAAAATTTCAATTCGGTTCCACAATCTTTTAATAAGTTTTCTTATATAGAATTCGGCTAAATAGGAGGAGCAAAATTTGAAATCGGATCTACAAGGTTGCATGAATTGAAACTTGCCAAGACGATTGGAAGTTGCAAGGAAATTACAAATGTGATTGGCGGCTAAAGGCAATGCGCGGGTAAACTGGGCGGCGGATAATTCAAACGCAGTCGAGCGACTGGCTGCCGCGAGGTTCCCTAGAAAGGCCAACCACGAAGCCCGTAACATTGCGTAGGTGGAGTTTGAACCGATAAAGGGGCAGGCTCCAAAGATAAGCTATTCATGAGTCTTCGCCAGGATTGGACTAAGATTAATGCACCTCTTAACTGGTCTAAGTCTTTTTAAGCCATTGAACAGTTTTTTTCTCCTACTCTCAAGTCATTCGTAAATATATTGAAAAAATTACTTCACAACACATATCTTTCGTCTACCCTCCTTGCATCATTTGTCGTTAGAATTCATTAGCGTGCCCTAAGCCTATGGCACAATGAACATAATGGTTAAACATTCTCTCAAAAATAACTTTTCGTTTAAAAAAGGAGGCAGAACGC